TCAGGGCTGATCTTCCTCAAAAAAAAAAAAAAAAACTTGGAGAAGAAGAGGAGGTACTGTAAAGTAGCTATTGCAGTGAAAAGTCTAAGCTTAGGTCTGTTTGAGGAAGGAGGTGTCTATTTTTAAACCCTTTTTTAAAATCCTAAATCTGAGTAAGCACCTCCTTAAGGGCAGGCTTTACAAAGAGCTGAGGAGAAGAGGGAAGATTTTGAATCAGGAGTAGGACTTATAGCATCAGACCTAGTATGGCCTAGTGTTATGCAGGATCATTTTTGTCCTTGAAGTGTAAAGAAAATTTTGTTGCTTATTGTTAATCCTCCAGTTCACTCACTCCATCACTAATATCAGTGCCTCAGCTAGAATGGAATCACAATCCCTACTCCTTTTAGGGAAGGAGTCTCTATCTCTCTTGATTTTTAAATTTTGATTCTTGGTTACCATCTATTGAATGCTTTCTATGTGCTAGGCATGGTGCTATGCACAATACATGCATCATCTCATTTAATCCTCACAACTCAATAAGGTAGGCATTAATCTCGTTTTATAAAAGAGGCCACCGAGGGACAGAGTAGATAAATCTCTTGCTCAAAGTTTGGACCAAATAGCCTGTAAGTAATAGGGCCTGGATCTGAACCCTCATATCTCTGATTTCTGACTCCATGTGCATAGCCGTAAGCATTCTGTTGTACTGCCTCCATGATAAAGCACTCCAGGTTTACTTCCTCAGATTCCAGGGGCAGAAGCTGCCGTATATGGCAGGGCTTTAAGGTTTCAAAGTTGTATATTCTAATAGAGGGTAGCTACGCTGTAACTACAGGCTCTGGCTGCAGTCCAAGCCTGCTGCCAAAGGTCAGCTTCTACCAGCATTTCTGTATTGCTGAATGCCCCTCCTCTGAAGGTCTCTGTCCTTGACTCTGACATATGTGTTTTTGTAGTTTGCTGGAAAGCATGAGAGCCCGCTGCCGGTGACAAAGAGCCAGAGCCTGACAGCTCTGCCTGGTTCCACATACACCCCTCCAACCAGCTACGCTCAGCATTCCTACTTTGGGTCCATCTCTAGCCTCCACCAATCCGCGCCCAACCACAGCTCAGGTATGCGGGCAGGAAGGGTAATCATGACATGTATCCCCAGCCCTGGAATGTAGAGGACTTTGTGGGTGCTCACAGACTGGGGATAGATAAAGCCTTGTGTTGGTGCACTTTGACAAACTTAAGACAAACTTCATGTCTTAAAAATGAACATCTTAAAAAGTTATATCACAACTGACATAAGATAATTCAATAGAATCATTAAAGTAACAGAGGAAAGAGATGTTTTTAGATTCCCCTGGGTTTGTAATCCACATTGCCAAGAAGGCATTTCAATAATAATAGCTAACATTTATTGAGTGCCTACCATGTTCCAGGCTCTGTTATAATCAGTTTATAGGTATTATCTCATTTGATCCTCAAAACAGTCCTGTGAGGTAGGTGTTATTATTATTGCTCATTTTACAGATGAGGAAAGCATACTAATAAGCAATGAAGCCACTGTCTCAAGAGCCCATGCTCTTGGCTTAGCTGCTTCTAAGTAATTTTTTACTTACCTCAAGTGACTCACCTGTACTGAGGTGACACCAGGTGTCCTGGGCACCCAGTACTGTTAGGAGTTTGGTCCTGAATTGTGGAGAAGCCCTTCAGATGTACCAAAGACTTCCAGCTCACCTTTCCCTTCCCTTTCTTTTTATATCTTAGAAAGAAGATCTACTTCCTTTTCACTCTCTGGCCCTCCCCAGAGACCTCAAGAAAGCAGAGGGCACGTCTCACCAGTAGAGGATCAAACTACCCAAGCCCCCCTGCTTCCAGTCTCTGCATTAGCCAGGGATTCCCCCTCGACCCCAAATGAGATGAGCTCCAGCACTTTAACCAGCCCCATAGAAGCATCCTGGGTCAGCAGCCAGAATGATTCCCCAAGTGATGCCAGTGAGGGGCCCGAGTACTTGGCCATCGGCAATGTGGACCCCCGAGGCCGGACCGCCAGCTGTCAGAGTCACAGCAGCAATGCTGAGAGCAGCAGCTCAAACTTGTTCTCCTCCAGCAGCTCCCATAAGCCAGATTCTGCTGCTTCTTCGCTAGGGGACCAGGAGGGAGGTGGGCAGAGCCAGCTGTCCAGCGTCCTTCGCAGGTCCAGCTTCTCCGAGGGGCAGACACTCACTGTCACCAGTGGAACAAAGAAGAGCCATACTCGCTCCCATTCAGATACCAACATTGTCTCCAGAGGAGCCCCAGGTAATGATCACCAGCCCCTAGTTAGGAAGGTGGCCCTCTGAATTATGGTGGAAGGGAGAGTTTCTTCTTAAGGGTCTTCAAATGGCAGGAAGAGAAGTTATGTTTCTGATGACATGACAGGTATCTCATTTATAATAAAAGAGAGAAGTTTGTAATGGATACACAAGAAATCTCTCCAAGAATATTTGTTTATTCCTTTTTACACTGCTGTATAGTAAATGCTTTCCTTGATTCTTTCACTAGCTTCTTAGCATCAGAGGGTAGTGTGACTCATCACAGTTGAGTTTTAAATGTATCTCTTAGACAGAGGGGAAGTACTAATGAGCTTTAAAAATAATCCCATTAAATTCCTCCCCTTCCTGTGATTCCTGAGAAGTTTGGTCAGGATGTAATACCAATATGAGAGAGGCAAAGTGATACTAGGGTTTCTTCATTAAAACTAGGGATATAGTGAGTGTGGGGTGATGTGATCTAGTGTACGAGTAGGGGGTGCTGACTGCTGCATCACTAATTCAGGTTGAAAGGCAGTCAGGTAAGGAGGTCCTGGCCACTGGGGCCTCCATGACACAAACACCAGCAGGTAGCAGAGAGCTCCCTAGGCAAGGGGAAAGTGAGTCTCATTGGTTTTGCCATCTCTCTGCCATCATCTGTCCTGGGTTCTTGGTGCCTGGCAGGCTTTGGTTGGGTTTCATTTGTAGAAGAATCTCCATAACAGGGAGTAAAACATGGACCTTTTTGCTCCAAGCCAGTTCTGGGTTGGAGAGCCCCAGAAATAAAATATAAAAAAATTTTAGAAAATAAAAAAGGAGGATTTCCTTGAGTAACTGGAGCTGCCATTGATTTCTACTTGTAATTTCTAAAAAGGTGAGAGCTAAGGCCCTCATTTGAAACTTCTGAATGATAAACTTTTGCTTCTGTTTTCCCCTTAAGAATGTGGTTTTGCTTATTGGAACTCTTTAGGGAAAAAAAAAAATCTCCAAATCAAAGCCTGTCTTTCCACTAGCTTTCTTAGATGTGAAGAGCGCTTGGGTTAGATCCTCACTTCACATCTCCTGCTGCAGGCTTGGTGTCTACTGTACTCCAGGCCATTGGTCTTTGAGCATGTAAAACTTCCCTGCCCCCATTCTTGAATCCAGGTGGATTCCAGAAACCACAGTAACCTGCATTGGAAAAGGGAGCCAGAGAAAACCTTAACAGAAGGGTCTGAGGGAGTGTGGGTCATGTGTAGCTTCTTGTATGAGTCAGCTACTAGGGTTCAGTAGCTGACTGCTTCAGCACTAGGGTTCCCTCAGCACTAGGGTTCCCTCTCGGGAGTTAAGTCTCCACCTCTGCTAGATGAAAGGACACTCTTTTTCTCACTTTCTCTATTCTCGTTTCCTCTGTCTGCACTCTCCTCTGCACCTGTCTGTCTACGTACAGGAGGCCTCAGGAATATCACCATTATAGTTGAAGATCCCATTGCAGGTTTGGGAGCCGGTCCTCCTTTCTGTCCACCACCTCCTCCTCCTCGTCTGTGACTATCTTGCTTAGTTCAGAACCTTGTTTTCCATTCTGGTGTTAAATCAAGTCTGTCTAGTCTGGTCCTGCTGTGATGCTTGGACCTGTCTGTAAAATGGCACCAATATTTTGTATGGTATGTTTTCTGTCCAGAACTTCCAGATGCCTCATTCAGTCTTGTAACAGCTTCTAGAAGGCAGAGTCAAGACTTATCAATCTTGTTTTGCCCAAAGGTGAAACTGAGGCCCACTATTTGTCTAAGGCATCATGATGAATCAGTGGCAGAATTTTCTTGTAACTGACTACTTACTACGGATTACTTTATTACCCTTGAATTAACACCAGAATGTGTTTTCTCCCCTTTCTCTGGTGTTGGATGTGGGTGCATGTTTTTTGCCTGTCCTAGAGTCCTGTTTCATTTTTTTTTAACCCATCTTCCTTCCCCTGTAAGTCTCCCACCCACCCATTCCAGCTATTGCACAGGATTTTTCTAGTGATTTAAGTCTGTTTCTTTGGTTTTCATGGTTGTGTTCAAACTGAATGTTGTATTCCATTCTGGGTACCATAATTCATGGAGATGTTAACACTAGAATATGTCTGGGAGGACTGAAAACCATGGCCTCCTGGTAATGGGTGAAGCCACTGGGTATGTTAGCTTGGAAAAGAGATGGTTAAGGAGAAATAAGTCTGTGAGACCATCGTTTAGAAGAGCATTGTGGTTCTTAAGGAGATGAGAAATTGTAAGAAGACAGATTTCAAGTGAGTATGAGGAAATTCTGAGAATTAGAGCTGTTCAGTTGAGTGGGCAGCATCAGGAGGTAGTGAGCTCAGTAAGCGTAAGCTGGATGGCCTTTACATGTAAAGGAATAGAGTGCTGGTGTTGGAGTTTGTGTTGTGCACTAAGTTTGACTGGGGACCTCAAAGGTCCCTTCCAAGTCATGACCTTTCAAGTCATGATCCAAGTCATGATGCCTTACCAGGGTATCATGGTGACTGCTGGTTTGTCTTCAGTTCAGTAGTGAGGAGCAGAGCCCACTGCCAGGACCACCATAAATCTTTGAGGCCCGAGGAAGGGAGAACACATGATTATCTCTTACCACTTAGTAGCATTTTTTGTGAGACGAGCAGCTGACAAGTTGGCACCATCTGTCAAGGAAGTGGGTTGGATGCAGCTCGATCATTCATTCTCCCAGAGCATCCTGCTTATTTCTCAGTGCTTATTCCCACTGCTTTTCTACCTGCTCTTCCTTCTGTGGCACTGGGAATTTTGTGTTTCCCTTTGGAGAATATCAGATTCTCATTTCCTGCAAGCCCTGCCTGCTGCTATTTCTCCACTCCTTTCACTGTTCCTTTAAAACTTCTACCCAGGCACTTCCTACTTTACCAGTCTTCTCTTGAAACATCTCCCTTCCTTCTCCAGTAGGGCTGGGTCTACAGCCCTGTGGCTGAGTCCTTTGGTTATAAGGCCATCATCTTTGGCTTCTCTAGCATTGTCTTAATGCCTCTTTTAGGACATTGCTGGATTTTATTTTGTTATTCTGCTGATTCAGAAGTGGGTTAAATTTGTAGGTATGACAAATTTATATTTCAGCTTCAGGAGAGATCATATCGTAGTATTTCCTTAGTGAGTGTAACCCATCTGCTATTGTTTAAAAACCTGGTGTCAAAGTATCAGAAAAGTTTTAATGTACTTATTTTTGTTTTACCTTGTGAGGACTGTTTTCTAAATTGGTTCCTCAAGAGGGTAGACATTGGCTGATATTTCTGGAACATTTGGTAAAAAGTTGGAAGAAAAGAAATTCATGAATCCGCTGATTTGATTCTTTTTCACCGTTGTGTTGCCACATTCTGGGTCATGTTTTCTCTTTTCCCCTTAGAATATAGTGACTTCCCATCTCCTTTCCTCAGTGTGTTCCTGCATTCTTGGACTGTTCCCTGTTGGTCTGCCACCTCTCTCCTGTTTGGGAGGGTATTGGGAATGGGAGCAGTTAAATGTTGAAACTCCAAAGTTGGGAATGTATCTGTTGCTCACCTCGAATGTGTGTTTTTACTCCCTGATGGTCACTGACGCTAGAATCCTGCAATGATAAGTCGAAGTTGAGAAGCCCCTTGTCCTACTCTGGCCAAAGCAGTGAAGTCAGCACACCCAGCTCTCTGTACATGGAGTATGGTAAGTGAGTACTAGGAAGGCTAGGACTGCAATTGTGTCTTTTCTCTGCTCTCCCCTTGTACCTGCTGAGCTGTGAGCTGTGTGGCTCATCTCAGCTCTGTGGAGGGTACACAGTGTACAGTCTCACCCTCCCTTTCATCATTTTCAACCCCTGTGCTAGAAATCACACTGCCCTGCCTTTTCTCTTGCTCCTCTCTGACTTAAGGGTCCCACTGTCTTTTATGCTATCACCATGAATGTCTGTTGATCCAGATGGAATGGTGCTCTGAGTGGGTGAGAGGGACCTTGAAAAGAGGCCTTTGAGTGTCTGGGCTTAATTATCAGAAGATAAGCTCCACATGGAAATCATCCATAGGAGGAAGCCATTTGTTTCCTTGTCTGACTCTCAGCACAGGTTTTCTGTTTTCTTTTTTGTGGGGTAGGAGGGCAAGTAGTTCATCTTTAGATGGTAAGAGAATTGTCTTCGGGCTCTCTCCGTTGATTCCACCATTCTTTAACCAAGAGGCTTAGTGCTTTGGGATTCTGAGATTCAGAGAAATTGCTTTAGCAGGTAGACATCTTTCCAACCTGTTACCTGGGAAGACTTGGCAGCATCTTTATTGGTAAAATCATCAGACTTCTTGAAGAGGTTGGCTATTACAGATTTGCTTTTCAAGTCGCAGCTTTTCACATTCACATTCCATTTTCCCATAGAGGGTGGTCAGTACCTGTGCTCGGGGGAAGGTATGTTCCGAAGACCATCAGAAGGACAGTCCCTCATCAGCTACCTGTCTGAGCAAGACTTTGGCAGCTGTGCAGACCTGGAAAAGGTGAGGAATCTAAGGGGCTACCGAAGAGTCCATGAGTTGGGAGATCTGGCCTGAGGGGCTATGGTGCCATTTGTTCTAAGGAGGTTTGGGGTACACAGCAGTACCATGAGTATAGACTACAATAAAGATAAGTTCACAGCAAAGATAAGCTCAACAAGTTCTGTCTCTGAAGAACTCTTCAGGAAGCGTATGCTCCTTATTGAATCCAAAAATATTACTGAGTTTGTCTTAGAAGCTACCTTGGGCAGAGAAGCATTGAATTTTAGCCACGTGATTATTGTTTCCTTGACCCTGGAACCTTAAGTAAAAACTGTTTTCAGAATCAACTTTTTTTTTGTGTGTGTGTGTGTGTGTATATATATATATATATATATATATATATATATATATATATATATTTT